GGGATTGAACTCAGGCCCTTGCCCTTGCCAGGGAAGCGCTTATTCCACTGAGCCATCTCCCCGGCCCCTTCTCATGCACTTTTTAGATGGGGCTCTTTTTTTTTTGGAGGCAGGTGAATCTAGAGTTTGTGGATGATTCATAATACAAGGCTGGGATTAAGGGTCCTGAGATTAAGGGTGGGTGATTTCTGATCAGTCCACTGATTGGATTGGCAATGACCTAATCCTAGCAGGCTGGATAAGATACAAGACAGTCTTCTCTTCTTGTCCTTGCTGCTGTCGCTGTCCTCTTCTGTCATGAACTGTTGCCCTTTGCCACGTGCCACCCTGCCTTGGAACCAGGCGATTATGGAATAAAACCTCCACAAACTAGGAGCTAAATAAACTTTTCCCCTTCTAGCTTTGGGTGTCCAGTGCTCTGACTCAGAGAGGAGCAAGGTAACTAAGATGGGTGGGCTCTTTCGTCTCCTGTGTTTCAGTACTTTGGGGCTCAACAGATGCTCAGGGAATGCTCCCTGAAAACAAGCCATCCCCAGGCCAGTTCTGGGTGGACTGGGCCTAGCTCGATCCGCTCCTCCAAGGCTCCTGGCGGCCTCCCTTCCATTCCCAGCATCGGGTGGGCACAGACTCCCTGATGGGGCACACCACACTCTGCTGGGACTTTCTTTTTTTTTTTGGTTCCTTGAATGCCTTCAGGGCACTTTTGGCCAGTGGAGAGGTGTGAGGTTCGAACTCCAGCATCCTGAGGCTGACAGCTTTGTGGAAGCAGCCACTTAAAGGCCTGAGCTAGGGCCAGGCCCCCTCTGCTGGGACTTTCTGGTGCCTACTTAAGCTATTAATTTGGCTTTGTGCATGTTGATGCTGGCTGGGCCCCTGGCCCAGCCTTGTGGGGAAGACACTGACTTTCCTAAAGCTTGGTCGGCCTGGGACAGTGCTTGGAGTGAGACAGAGGCTAGGACAGGGTGCCACCCGAGCTTCTCTGAGAGAGGGAGGGCAGGAGGGAGGAAAGGGTGAGTCCTCTCCTCTTCCTGACCACTGACTGTCTTGGATCCTTCTCCACTGCCTCAGCTAGAGCCCAGGAGCACTCAACGCCTTTCACAGGGTGCCCCCAAGTGGCCTTTCTGGGAATCACACCCATTCAACAGTAACCATTCTTGGCTGGGATTCCCGCTAAATTACTACTGTGAACATGGTGTCATCAGTGCCACGTTAGTGATAAAAGCAGAGGCTCAAAGAGGTGGGATGGCTTGTCTCAACTCAGCAGCAGCCATTTTTTTTTTTAAACCTATGTCTCTCCTGAAACCACAGAGCTAAATCTCAAAGAGTTGCATGGGCATGTTGGCCCGACTGCTATTCTGACATATAAACCAGCTGTCATCTGCTCCCACGCAGGTAATCGGTCTCTGCTTCAACCCTTCCAGCAATGGTGAGATCACCCTCGCGCGGCACCCGCAGGAATGCTACCTGGGCTGGGGCTGCCAGTACTATGGGCAGGGCAGGTCCTGGCTGGAGATGCTGCCCCTCCAGTGAGGTGAACAGGCCCTGAGAAGGGACACACAGGCTCCTCTCCAGGGATGGTCCTTGGGTTCATGAGACCTTGGGACTGAAGGCAGACGTAGGGCAGTGACCAGCACTGCTGCTCCTTCCCTAACAGGGTCGTCTGGCCCCTGGTACGCAGTAACACTCCTGGGCTGGGGAGTGCTATGCTGGGCCTGTGGGGGCAGGCGGTGGCTGCCCACTCACTCTACCAGGCCCTGTCCTTGTACTATTTAAAGATCAAGTTTCATTGTGTAGTTCAGGCTGGCCTTGAACTGTGTAGCCCGAGATAATTTTGACCTCACAGCAATCCCTGTGCCTCAGCTTTTGAGTACGGAGATTACAGGTGTGCACCCCCATGCCTGGCCATGCGTTAGCTATCATACTTAACTCTGCACGATTCTGTAGGGAAGAAACTGATAGGTTATGGCCCTCGTATGAATTGCTGAATTATGGTGGTCATCCAATATGGCTGAAGCTCTTAAAACAACAGCTTATCTTCCCAGAGACCACCTCCCCCCTTCTCCAACTTAGCCCAGGACACAGTTTCCTTTTTCACCTTTCCCACCTCAGGGAAGGCCCCAGTTGGCTCCTCAGATCTATCTAAACTTCCCCCTCAAACCCCACTCCTGGCAAAAAGCCGTTAACAGCCTCAGCCTCCCTTTGTTCCAATCCAGACAATTCTTTATCTTCCCAAGTTCTCTCTGTGCCCTCCAAGATGAAGCCCCTTTCCTTTTAAAATAAAGCCCCCTTTCCTTTTTCCTTCTACCTGTTTCTCTACTGTGACACTGTCAAAAACCTCTCAGAAACAAAACCTCTACAGATGAGAAAACTTGGATCAAGATTAAGTACTGGGCAGGGAGGCAGGATTTAATTAAGGGCCTCTAGGCTTCTGGCTGGTGTCCCACACCAACTAGTATCTGCTATGGTGCTTCCAGACCCTGGGGCCCAGGGACTTCCTCTTCGCTTAAGAGACCAGTGAAGGTGCAGATGGATGGTGTCCTGGCCCTCAGGCCTCTGCTCCAAGCTGTCACTTCCCTTGGGTTAAAACTGCAGGCAGTACTACTGAGCCCTGCAAACCTAAGCCTGTCAAGCATGCTGTGAGAGGCTGCATATGAAGTGGTGCTTGGCCCAGGGACAGGCAGCACTCCATCTCCTAACCCAGGGGGACAGAGCATCCTTCCACCTGTCTGGTTTTTTATACTTGATCTTAGCCAAAAGGCCAAGAGGCTGTATCGTGCTTTTTTTCAGGGATGGGGATTGAACCAGGGACCTTTGTGCCAAGCTACATCCTCACCTCTTAAATTTTTTTGAGACAGGGTCTAAGTTGCCCAGGCTGGGCTTGGCTTGAACTTAACCATTCTCTTGCCTCACGCTTCCAGAGTATTGGCATTACAGGTGTGTGTACCACCATGCCTAGTCCCAACCATCTTGCTTCTAACCTCAACTAAATTCCATCGTACCTATGTATGTTTTCCTCCTGTGAAGCAGCACCTGCAGGGCAAGTGTGAGGTCCAGAGTTTGATTCCCAGTACTACCCCCTCCTCCCCCAAGAAAGTCAAGACAACTCTGTCCATTTTGTTTTATTTGTTAAATTGCTAAAAAGTCGTCAGGGGGAAAACATTAACAAAAAATGAAATTGACAGATTTAAATATTCATGAAATCCATTTTCATTCCTACACTGGTATGTGCCTAAAATGACTACTATCTCAGGGTAAGCCACCTGGCACCCCTGAACTGTATGGGAAACACCACTCACAGCACCAGCTTTGCCAGGGCACGGCGGGTGTGCACTGACATGAACCCTGGTTGGTGGGAGGAAGCAGAGCAGGTAGCGTTCAGTGGAGCCCACGCCTGAGGTTTGCTCTCACAGCGAAATAGGGGAGGGAGCCAGCTGCTCAGAACAGGCCTCGTACAATGCTGTCGCATGGCTGAGCGCGGCTTGCTCCCGGGGCATCTTCAGATCTTCTCCACTGACAGCGACACTGTCAGGACCAGATAATGCAAAGCAGAGCACACCCCCATGCCAGGATCACCAGGAAGACAAGAACGGACACAGACCAACCAGGTGCACTACTCTGAAGGGGAAGGGAAAAGGCAAAGCAGAGGAAACCAGAAAGACAAAGTGAAGGCAAGGGAGAGAGCCCCTTGTTCTGCGGGCCAGTGGCTCCGTGCTCCAAAGTCAAGACTTCGTACACTGGTTTTCTTTCCTCCTCTTCCTCATTATAAAATGTTCCAACATAGTTCCTAGATAGTTTATGCTTTCAGCTCCTGCTACATACACAAATGTTAAAATCAAATCAACCCGCAGAAGGCTAGGAGGAGTCTTGTATTACCTTAAAAACAAAGTTAATTTTCTGACACCACACTGGTGCTCCCAGAATGGGGGTGGGATGGGGTTAGGAAGCCCACCCCCCAAGTGTGGGAGGGTGGAGCTAGGAAAACACAGAGTGTTCTCTGCTGCAGAACGTGAAAAGAGAACAGGAAGTTCTGTTCAAGAGGGCAGAAGAGACTAAAAATTCTTACATGAGGTCAGTGTGGTGACCAGTGAAGTCAATATAACCTGGGGGGAGGGGCTCTCAAAGGCACACTTGTAGGAATGGAGGGGTTAAAGCTTCAAGTAGAAACAAGATGTGTTTTAAATACTTAAATACTGATAAATATCTCCTTTCAGTGCTCCTGAGGGTGTAAAGAAAAATATTTTGTCTCATTTCTCTCAGTGAATTTTAAGACAAAATTGGTATCACCTCAAAGACAGAGTTGTGGTTCCATCGCTGCAGTGGTGCCGAGACCCCCACTGCAGGTGCCTCGCGAGTGCCCAAAGAGGAGACAGTCGCCTGCCGGACTTGGGCTGCTTTCCTGTGGCCCACACCCACGGTGCCCAGGAGAGTGAGCACTGGGCATGGACAAGGCAGGCATTTCTCAGAGGGCTGTAAACGGACAGTCTGGTTGGCCAGCAACGTGGGTAACACTGGGTGCGTGGAATTCAGAGGAACCGGACTACTAAGAGAATCAACATTTCTGTTGCTTGCCTACTTGGGAAAGCAGAGGAATCAACAGGTGAACAGCTGGCTTAGGAAGGCCACCAGACAAAAGAAAAGATTACAAAGGGGAGATTCTGAACTTCCAGGCTTCCAAATACTCTACACTTATGTGGAAACTGAGTTTGGAGGCACTGTCCATGCACTAATATGTCACAGGCAAAGTTCAGCAACAGCAATGATGCCGAACCTTTTAGGTTGCTAACTCTGTAGGCTGGCTTTGCCTTATAAATCTGGACCCCACATGACTCAACAGTCTTGGCCAAGGAAGGATTGGCATCAGCGCAGAGCAGGGGGCATGGAAAGCCCTGTGCACAGCTTTGGGGCAGTGTCACACCCGAGCAAGCAGGCACATGGTCTGTTCCTCCTTTGAGGGAGCGGTAGAGCGGCTTCAGGAACACGTGCCCTCCCTGTGAACTGGCCCTTTCCTGTGCTTGGGACCATGGGGTTTTCCCACCAAGACCACAGTGGCAAAGCTGACAGTAAGGGAAGGATTCAGCATGACATACCAGGAGAGAACACTTATCAAAATGACTGGGAAATGCTGGCTGGGGGCCACGACCCAGGCCCAGCTGCCGACAGCCTGTGCCTGGGAAGAGCTAACAAGAAAAGGGGAGTGTGGGGGTGGGAAACATGTTTTGAAATTTAAATCTTAAAGGTAAAATAAAAATCTACCCATTGATGAGAAGTCACCAAATTTTTCCCATATTTAAACGGTGCCATTTGAAATAAACTCATTTGACATTTCCTGTGTCCTGGCCATGGTTTAGAGACTAGTTAACTTCTAACTTTCTTAAGAAATGTTCTTGCTTGGTTGTACCTTATCTCAGACATAAAGGGAAACAGAAAACCCAAGCCCTGTGTGGGTGACACATAAACTTCAAGACAAGCACAAATAAAGCGATGAAGCTGCTCCCCTGGACAGCCAGGTGTCATGAAGGTCAAGTACACGATACACTATCTGGTCACCTGTCAACAGCCAGGCACAAGAACACATGTCGCAGGGAACCCCTCCAATGGAACTGTTATTAGGATTCCTCCCACCACCAACTTGCAGTTGTACAAATATGGAAGAGCATGTCCACTGTGCTCTGGAACTAAAAAGAGGTCCATAGGGAAAAAAGTGCCTTTCGATGCTTCAAGGATTTTTCTCATGATACTAGCATCTTAGAATTCCCTGCCTGCCCCTAGGGATACCAAACAAAGGGTTCTGGAACTATTTCTAAGAAGCGTAATTTCTTTAGGAACCTTTGCTCTATGAAAGAAACCAAAAGAAAGAAAGGCTTTAGGGCTTAGGAGATCCACATGAAAAGATGTGGGGGCTGGGGGAGGGTGAAGAGCAGCCTTCTGATGGAAAATGTAGCCTCTGGGGACAAAAAATTCTAAAATAAGGGAAAGGAGAACAAATGCAGGTTTTGGGAACTTGCCACCAAACACGATTGTCAGAAAATTCCACAATCAAATAGCAAATGTTTTCTGAGACATGTAGGAAGCACTCAAGTGACCAACAGCAGGAGACGACGATGTCAGCATATGAGCTCTCCTCGATGGATCTGGCACACCTGGAAAGAAATCCCTTGCTGGGCAACTTCCCTGGGTCACAGAGGGCAGAAGGGGACCAGCACAGGGCATTCAGCAGAGAGAGCGGTCACAGGTCCTCTGCAGTTTTCTTCTGAGTTTCTTTCACCCCACCAGTACCTGCTGAGGCGGGGGCTGCGCTGAAAGCTCCTTCGCATTTTATCTATGCCCTTCCCGTTCTGATTCTGAGAAGGCCACATAAAGAGATGTACGGGGCTCTTCGGTTTCTATTGGAAACGTAATGATTCTTGGTCTAGTTATCAGCAAAGTAGAAAAAGGCAGCACAGCCTCTGCTAAAACACAGCAACCATTTTATCTGAACTCAGACGGAGATCTCTCCCTTTTTTGTAAACAGAGTTGGTTATATAATATATGTTTTATATATAATTTTTTTCTTAATGAAGATTTGATCCCAGCCTGGAGTGAGTTAGATTGGGCATTGGAGTTTTGGTTTGTGGGAATAATGTTACTATTTTCCCAATTCTTAGTCCAAATGCTTGCACACTGGAAAATTCCAAATTAAAAGCTACAGAAAGGGAAAGGGAATTGGAACATATTATCTCTTTGCACGCACAAAGTACAAGGCGTTTGTTTTTGGGTAGTACTTCACATTCTGCTTCTTGTCCATGAGCCCTCCGAATATAATGAGTTCGCCCCTGCCTTGGACCACCGTGTGAAGGCTGGTTTCAGGAGGTCCCACCACGGAGGCGCTGCTGAATACTTTCCACTTGACCCGTCCCTTCTCCTTGGTGTCTTTAATGTCCAGCACGTACATCTGCATGGGCTTGCAGTTCATACTCTGGTACAAGGGCTTGCCAACATTGAGGGACTGTGGCGGGTGGTGGCCCAGGCGGCGGGCAATGGGAGGTAAGGAATGTCCATCTCCTTGGGCAGGTCCTGTTGGGCCTGGGCGGGGGATGGGGGCGGTTTCTCCACTGCTTAGGCTCTGGCTCCCAGGGGAGCCTGGAGAAGACCCAAGAGGTGGGCTTAGTGCTGCAGAGGCTGAGGGGCCTTTGGATGATATTGCTTTGATGGCCTCCAGGCTCCGGCGCAGGGCACCAGGTGAGACAGCCCCTGCAAGGGCACTGGCCACGTGTGGAGGGGTATGCACACCATTGGTCTGTTCTGGAGGGTGTCTCGCACTCCCCCCAGCTGTCCTGTTGTCCACACCATCCATGTGATTGCTCCCAGAAGCAGGTTTCAGGTCCCAACTCAGATCAATGGACCCTAGTCTTAAGTCTTTCTGATCTGGTAGCGACCCTCGTCGGGGGGCTAAAGTCAGTCCCCCTTTCAGGTCATACCCTTCAGCAGCAGAAGGAGTGCTTGGAGACAGGGCCTGCACAGGACTGTCTAGGGAAGAGCCACCGATAGCTGCTGTTCCTGGAGATAAACTCCCACCATTGAGGACAGGAGAGCCATCTCCTCTGGCAGGGGAAAGGCTCCCTTCCCGCGAGCCTGAGGGAGTCTGCCTTTGAGCCCTGGGTCTCAGTGTTCCCCAGCGGCCGTTAACACAAGGAGCTTCATCCATACTCCTGACTGGAGACTGCGAGCGGTACTCTCGAGTTTCAGGAACCAGGGCTGGAGGAGTGGCACTGATAGGTGATGGGCGCGAGTTCAAACTGGGGCTGAGGGGGGCTCTCCCACTAGGAGCCTGGCTGAAGACCACCACACACTGTCCCACCTGGAAGACAAAGGACCTGTGCTCACAGCCTCTTCTGCAATTCTGATCCTCCAAACATCAAACATTTAAGCATAAGTGGTCCGATGTGCCAGGCATTTTGTCAGTGTTTCTTTTATTTTTCCTTGTTTTTGGGTTTTTTTGGTGGTACTAGGGATTAAACCCAGGGCTTACTGAGTCCTAGACAAAAGATCTGCTCCTGAGCTACATTTCCAGTACTTTCTTTTTTTTAAAACTTTCTTATTTTGAGACACATTTTTGCTATGCTGCACATGCTGATCTCAAACTCATAATCCTGCCTCAGCTTCCCAAATAGCTGAAGTTACAAGCATGCTCCAAATCTACACAACCAACACGCCCGACATTTTGTAGATCTGAGACAGTGATGAATGATACAGAGATGAAAATAATGTAGTCTGTTCTCTAGGCTAGAAGGACATACAGACATGGGAACAACTGCTGGCTTCTGTCACTAGCTGTAGCTACCGAATAGGGGTAGAAGGGAGGAAGAAATCAGTTTTTACTTGGGGAAATCTAGGAGAAACTTCACTGACAAAGACGTGTAAAGTTGGGTCTACGAGATGAGCGGGGCCATGCGATTTCTCTTATCTAGTGGCTCATTTATATAGGAAACGATGAAGGAGCTATACGCAATATCCACCTCTTTTGTGGCACCAAAGTGCTTTCTATTTCTGTACAAATTTCCTTTGAAATCTGACAGACTGACAGACTGACTGGGTTTTCCAGTGGAGGACGTTTCCTCATTCTGGCCCGTCAGCTCTGCTTACCCGGCAGGCGGGATGGCACCACAACTCTGGGGCCCCATGGTCTTCATTTTCTACCTTGAGTGGCTGCCAAGCCCAGGGACCTGGGTGCATGTGCAACAACCAAGCGTCTTTGAAAAG